GCCCCTCTCGGTGCTGGAACTGGACACAGCACGGTGCTTTCTGTCTCGAACACGAAACCTTCTGCAGCACAACTTAAATAGATCACTGTCTAGCGCAAGGTGCTTATTTGAGGCTCTCGTGCAAGAACTGTTTTCCTAAAAAACTATAATTTTGTGGCATTTGCAGCTTGGTGACTGTTGAACAAGCGGTGTGCTGAGGACACAGGGGCACTGAAAGGAAGCACTGGGGGTGCAAGGGGCAGTGGCTTGCAAAGGATAAATTTAGCTGGTTAAAAAGGATGGCTGAGTGCTGGCATCCTGAGCTTGAGCTGAGCCTCAGCTGGGCACGCAACAGCGCTTCAGCCAGGGCATCCGCACGGTTCCCCCCTGTCCTTCGTGCTCCTGACGGCGGTCCCTCTCTGAGCTCACCCCTTTGCCAGCCCAGAAGCTCCTGTTCCCCGCGGAGCAGTGCCAGGGTGAATGCTGTCGCCTTTCCTCCCCTCTTTCCTTTTCAGCCTCCAGTTTGTTCTGAGCATTCCAGATGCTTTACAGCAACGGAGGCTGCTCTGCATGAAGCTCATCTGCTGGTTGGTAGGAGCCTGGCTCTGGTTTGGGCTGCAGAAGTGGCCGGAGCCTCTGGGGTCAGCCACAGCACGAGTGACCCACTGGAGGGGCCGCAGCTCTCCACGGATGCCCCTCTCGTGGAGCACAAGTCGCAGAGCAGCTCTTCACCTCACTCCCACTCCCACGCAGGTAGAGGGGACCTTTGTGATGGTCTGCCTGTGGCCTTCTCTAGGAGGGTGATGTTAGATTGTCCACACTGAAACAGGGCAAGAGAAAAAGGGAGAAGTTATTTCAGAGCCAGGAGGACAGAGCGACCAAATAGCAGTGACCGCCGGCAGGCTCCAGGCTGCGGGGCTTGGCCAGCGGCGGGCACAGCCAGGAGCCGACCTCTGAACAGAGCAGGAGAGGGCATGACGCCTTGCCGAGACCACGCCAGACGGAGCGATTGGTCACGGGGAGTTGTTTGGGGTGTTCTGACTCTCTTCTGTATTTTACTGTCTGTCCAGAAAATCAACCGGACCCCTTCGGATGAGGAATGCTTCTTTGACCTGTTGAGCAAGTTCCAGAGCAACCGGATGGATGATCAGCGCTGCCCATTGGAAGAATGCCCGTCGGAGGCTGCAGAGGCAGCTGCCACACCGGTCCCTGCCCTGGAAGAACGGATATGTAAGCACCGATGCGTTTATAAGTCACTATTACTATGGGAGTAACGCTGCTCCCATGGCGTGGCCAGCTGTTGTGGTTTTACTGTGAATCTTGTGATGTTTTCCCCAAGCCTCAGCTCTCTGAACTTAGCAGTTCTTTGGCAGTCTCCGTCGTTATTTAAGGAAGGAAGAAACATTCTTATGTTAATGGTTGCTGAGGGAAAGGCTGGAGAATGTGAACTAAGGCTTGGAGAATAAACTAGCAAGAGAAATGCAAAACATACTTGGATTTTTTCAGTATGAATCTTTAGAAGGTCTTGCTTTCTGAACAGTGAGGTTGGCACGAGAACTTCTGCCTCTGCCAGCATCTCCAGGAGAAGGATGCTGATGGTCATTACTGAGGGAGCCTTGTTAGAGCCTGGAGAGCTGGGGCATGCAGAGCGCTGGGGCAGGCTTTCACAGGCAGTTTTTCTCGTAGCGTTGCCATGGAGGAAAAACTTCTGGATTTTGTACAGTTCTTGGATGCTGTGGTGATAGGTACTGTGTAAGAACAGAGAAGCCAGAAGGATGGATAAACAATAGGAAGCTGCAGGCAGACAGCTAGCTCACCCATGGGAAGAACAGGGATAAATTGAGGAAGCTGTCTGACAAATAGATGGGAGAGGAAAGGCAGGGCAGGTCTGTGTTTGCACTTCGGTTTCATGTCTTTTTTTATGATAGAGTGTTGAGGGCCTTTGTTTAAACCAAGCTGGAGAGGAGCACTAAAATGTGCGGGTCACACTTGCACGCTTCATCACCATCACAGAGGGCTTAAAAGACTTCATTTGAACCGATGGATTTCTTTATCAGTTTCCAAACGAACACGACGTACAAACAGGAGGAGAGGAGACCCCTGACATCCCGCCGCACGCGGCAAGAGCCGCAGCACAAGCCTGCTCAGAGAAGTAGGTGCCAGGAGTAGGGGCTGAAGCGGCAGCGAGGGCAGAGCGGTGCGGAGGTCAGGCTGCGGCAGGAAGGCAGGTTGCCGCGAGGTGAGAAGGTTTTTATCTTCTAAAAATAGGATGGAAACAAGCATCACTTTTTCAAGATACGCATTTCTGATACAGAAGTGCATTTGGCTGTAACAGCTGTGTAATTTAGGAGACCGAGTTTAAAATATGAAGCTTTGTAAAGAATGTACAAGTAGGCACACGTTCTGTTCAGCTCTCATTTGGTCTCTGAGTCTTTTGGATTTGTTATTTTCAAAGTTTCTTTATGAGCTGAAGGGGAAGGAACTCTTCTTCACATCAGTGCTGAGATTTTTAGGTGTTTCTTGCAACTTCCTGCGCTGGGGCTCTAAAAAGAGCACGGCGTGTCGGGGGGCTGGGGACACCCTCTGCTCAAGTGCTTTGTGCTCACTGGGACAGTAACACCAACCGGGCCGGAAAAAACTTTTCCTTGTCCCTGTCCAAAGCACAGCGCCTGTTTGGGAGCCTCTCAGTGCCCAACAGCTGCCAGGAGCCAACAGGCTCTTCCCACCGAGTGCTGCCTGAGAGGCGTTTTGAGGGCTGGGGGCTGACTCACTCGCTTTGCAGAGGTCCCAGCATTGCTCGTGTTCTGTGTTTGAAAAAATCCTCCCTTTGTCCCGTTGTTGCTGTGCCCTGCGCGA